CGAGCTGGGCGACGTGGGTGACGGGCTTGGTGAACTCGAAGCGCACCTGGGCGGGGGAGACGGCACCGGCGGGCTTCTCATCAAAGGGACCGTAGGTGAGCTTAGCACCTTGCTTCTGGGGGAACTCCTTGATGTCGCCGCTGCCAGGCAGCTTGGTGTAGTCGGGGATGTTGGACGAGTGGGACTTGAGCTCGGTCTTCTGCTTCGAAGTGACGTAGGCCGAGGGCGCGTACACGGAGAAGTCGTAGGTGAGGAATTGTTGCTCCTCCTGGGCGATCGAGGCCGGCAGGGGCTTGTAGGCCTGGAGAAGGTAGTAGGAGATGCTCAGCGTCTGCTGGCCGCCGGCCTTCAAGGGCGTAGGGAGCTGGATCTTGTAGTACTGAGTCTCGCTGTTGCACCTGTTAGTTCACCCATGTGCACTATTGGGTGTGCGATGTGCCCAAGAGCCAAAACGTACCTCAGGGGATCATACTCGACCGCATCAACGGTGAATGGGCCAGCTTCGGGGTTCTTCCTATCCTTGGCCTCGAAGCCTCCAATGCGCGACATCTGCTCGGGGGTGAAGGGCAGGTAGTATGCATCTTGGGGCTGCTTATCAATGTTCTCAATCAGAACATTGATTGACTCCTTGACGTAGTTCTTCTCGAGGGAGACAATGTGGACAAGATTGGCGTTCTTGAAAACCTGGGGCGGCTTGAAGTTGGCGGGCAGGTTGACCTTTGACACCTTGTCAGCTGCAGTCGTCGAGTCGGAGCTTGCGACAATCGGGGAGAGCAGGCTCAGAAGCCCGGCGGCAATGGCGAAGGCTCTCATGATGTGGGTTGGTGGAGGGAATTGCTCATCGACAGAGCTCTCCCGGCAATTGAGAATCAAGAATGGAGAAAAGCGGTTGTTGAGACGCAATTGGGGGCTTTCACTCCATTGCCCGAATTGATGATCTGGCTCCTGAGACAGCTACCCCCAGCCAAAAAGCTTACGGATACGTTGCTTGACGGCGCGCACGGGCCGCGGATAGCTCCACTTCACTGGAGAGTGGCCGGGTCGGGGCTGGGTTAGTCCGAGACGGGCACGCGGCACTGGCGCGGCCTCGGTGGAGGTCAAGCCACACTTCACCAATGGCAGGTGCCACTGCGGGACAGCTTCAGCCACGCGCTTCGTCCACGTTTTATCTCCTCGCTTAGGTACTTGGATACTTCATCACACGGGGCTTCATATCTGTAAATTCGCCAATGATGACTGGCTCCTGGCATCTAGTGGGGTAGACAGCTACCGACTCTCTTTTCCTTAGCTGCCATTTGTCCCTCAACAAGACGTCACGCACCGCAACCTCCGGGCTTTGGGAACGATTGAGAACGGCGCTTCCGGTGCTTCCAGTCCGTTTCTCCCGGGATGCTGACTCTCCTGGCTTGAATTCAGGTGCTCGTAAGATGTGGTATGTGGGAACACACTCTTCCAGCATCTCCTTCACGTGAGATATGCCATCGGAGATAGGTTGGTAGACAGCTATGGTCAGTTCAGGTCAACCCTAGGGGTCCACCGCTAGCTGCCATCTACCTTGACCATCCCAGCTATGGCAAGACCGCTGCAAATCTCGTGGTAACCTTTGGACGAGCGAGACGCGGGCTGGCGGCTCTGGTCCGCGACCAGTGGGACAACAGAGAAAAAGGTACCAAGAAAACTAGTGTGCAGTTTTTGGAGTTTGATCTGCCCTGGTACCTAAGGCTCGTACGGATATACCAGTAAGGAGATAGGTAGACAGACATTGGATGACCCATCGGAGATGTGCCTCAGCGGCTTCGGGGGACTCGACTCGTCTCGTCGAAAGGAAGGGGGCCACAAAGTAAGGTAACCGTAGTGCAGCAGCGTGCAGTGGTGCTGAGTGAGTGATCTCCAGTCCTGACAAGGTCCAGTCCGCCCGACTTTGACCTCCTACCTCACCTCCTTCCCTCTCGGTCAGATGATCCACGCCCATTCACCTTTTCCCTCAACGTCACTTCCCTCACCCGACGCACTTCACCTCTAGCGAATTGACCGCCTACCACCACCCACCTAGCAACGAACACAACACCAAGCAGACTTATCGTGTGTTTTTGGCCTACATCCCTACGCAGCTTCCGACAGCTTTTATTTTGCTGCACCCATCATCACCTATAGCTCAATCGCTACCCCTCATCAACTTTTACCCCGCCATCCGTCAGAGCTTCGGTCAAAATGGTTGGTCTCGGTCCCAAGGTTCCGCCCAGTAGGAAGGGTAAGTTTTGCAGCTGCGATTCCCCCTTCATTTTACTCCTTCTCCCTACCTTTGGACTCCTGAAAATACCCAAGGGCGACACGATGGCCTTATATGCAAAAATGACATGGTGTGCCGCCTCACGTTGAGACTGAGACAGCTCTCGAGATGATATGGTCTTCAAGCTACTGCGCACTGTACGCCATTCCGCTGGTGTCGTCCCACCCTCCAAGTCATCCTCAACGCCTCACCCTCAAAACTTTCGTCCCGCTCGCACCATCACAATCACCACCATCCAATCCTGCCTCCCACCGACGGCTGGAACGGCCAATTGCCATTCGGAGATGACGCGCCACAAGGCTGGACCGCCATGCACCACTTCCCGGTGGCCGGAGCTTCCCCAAGCCAGAGGGGTACCTTGCTTGTCAAGCAAAAGCAACTCTCTTGGGAAAAGCTCAAGCCATCCAGCGTTGAGGTGGAAGACCTTGTCTCACTTTGCCAGACATTCCCCCACCTTGATCCCCCAGCTTTCTTTCTCCGATGACTGCAACTGTCTAGTTATAAAGAAGCTGGCAAGCGCTGCTTGTCTCCCCTCCAGACCTTTGTGTTGACCGCTACATCAATTGCTTGTTGTTATTTGCCCTTTGTCTCGAGAGCTTCGATTCTGGATCTTGTTTTCCTGAACACAATCATTTTGTGATACCCATCCACCAAACGTTGTCACGCTCAAGTGTGGCAAGACACCAAAATCTTACAGCCAGCTTCACACAACCGTCACGATGGTGGACAGAGCGATTGCTCCCGCTACAAGGGAGAGATCCTACCACCACACCGATATCTTTGTGCCATCACGTCAAAGCAAGAACACACGTCTACAGATTCAACATATTCATGTCCGCTAACTATGTGTGAAAATCTAGGTTCCATGGCCGATGTGCCTAAGGATCTTCTGGCTGAGGTCAAGAAGCTCGAGGAGCAATTCACCGTTCCGACTGAGAAGCTCAAGCAGATCAGCGCGCACTTCATCACAGAACTGGACAAGGGTAAGTTGACACCTGTTGGAAATTGAAGTTTTTCATGGAACTGACTTGAAGCATAGGTCTGAGTGTCGAGGGCGGTAGTATCGTATGTTGAGACCTGAATATTTGTTGGCATTTGGAGCACCTTTCTAACTATGTCTACAGCCCATGAACCCGACCTGGGTTATGTCCTTCCCTGATGGCTACGAGACCGGCACATACCTTGCCCTCGACATGGGCGGAACCAACCTCCGTGTCTGTGAGATCACCTTGACGGATCAGAAGTCTGAGTTCGACATCATTCAGTCAAAGTACCGCATGCCCGAGGAGCTCAAGACCGGCCAGTCAGAGGAGCTGTGGGAGTACATTGCCGACTGCCTAGCTCAGTTCATCCAGACTCACCACCCCGATCACCCTCAATCTCAGAAGATTCCTCTGGGTTTCACCTTCTCCTACCCTGCCACCCAGAACTACATCGATGAGGGCATCCTCCAGCGCTGGACCAAGGGTTTCGATATTGCCGGAGTTGAGGGTCACAACGTTGTCCCTTTCCTTGAGGCTGCTCTGGCGGCCAAGGTATAATAAGATGACTTGAGCACAGATGAAGCACTAGTAACTAACTCCCGCTTAGAACGTCCCTATCAAGCTGTCTGCTCTGATCAACGATACCACTGGCACCCTGATTGCCTCTGCCTACACCGACACTAAGATGAAGATTGGCTGTATCTTTGGCACTGGCTGCAACGCTGCTTACATGGAGGACTGCGGCTCCATCCCCAAGCTTGCTCACATGAATTTGCCTCCCAACACCCCCATGGCCATCAACTGCGAGTGGGGTGCTTTCGACAACGAGCACAAGGTCTTGCCTCGTACCCCCTACGACATCATCATCGACAAGGACTCTCCTCGTCCCGGCCAGCAGGCCTTTGAGAAGATGATTGCCGGTCTCTACTTGGGCGAGATCTTCCGCCTGGTCCTTGTTGACCTCCACGACAACAAGTCTGTGCACATCTTCGAGAACCAGGACATTGCCAAGCTCCGTAAGGCCTACACCTTGGATTCCTCGTTCCTGTCCGCCATTGAGGAGTAAGTTTTCTTAATCTTGAAGACTGCCCCAGATTAGTATGCTAACCCGATACAGCGACCCCTTCGAGAACCTTCAGGAGACTAGCGACCTCTTCCTCTCCAAGCTGAACCTCAAGGCCACCAGACCCGAGTTGGAGCTGGTCCGCCGCCTTGCTGAGCTCATTGGCACCCGTGCCGCCCGCCTCTCGGCTTGCGGTGTTGCTGCCATCTGCATGAAGAAGGGCTACGACAACTGCCACGTCGGTGCTGACGGTTCGGTCTTTAACAAGTACCCCCACTTCAAGGCCCGTGGCGCCCAGGCTCTGCGCGAGATTCTCGACTGGCCTGCTAAGACCAACCCTAAGGAGGAGGATCCTGTTGAGATTCTCGCAGCAGAGGACGGCAGTGGTGTTGGCGCCGCCCTGATTGCCGCCTTGACCCTTAAGAGAGTCCAGAACGGCAACATGGCTGGCATTCTCCACCCCGAGAACTTCACATAGTCGTCCCAAGACACGAGGACGGGTTGAAGAGGCAACGAGATTAAACAAAAAGCGAGGTCTTGTTAGATTGGGGGTTCTTTTTGATAGGAAGTCTTATCTGCACTGGTTCTACGGTTATGTCCACCAGACCTACTAGATAGCTCATACAAGCAGCATTCCTACCCCCATCCCAGCTTTTACTTATTTTCAGCCCATGAACGTGCATGTGGGCAAGCGGTACTCTATCACCTGTTAGTATTGTCGAGGCATCAGTACACCCAGAGGAAGAAAACTCACTATCCAAAGTCCAGTACCGGCGCACGACACCCTCCCACTCGCCGGCGCCAGCCTTTTCCAAACCCTTCATGTCGACGTCCATCTCGTCCCACTCGACGTCCAGACCGGCGTCGGCCATGTGCATCTCGACGACCTTGGTGTAGACGTCGTAGCATATCCTCCGGTCGGCGCCCAGACCGTTGAAGAAGCTGAAGCGCCCCTCGAAATCGAGCAGGCCGGGGATGTACTCCGTGAAGAATGTCTTCAGCTGGCCGTAGTCTTCGCCAAAGGTGTCAAAGTAGATTGCGTCGTAGACTTCGCCGGCTTCGAGGAGCTGGGGGACGATGTCTTGCCACCTGCCGCGGTGGATTTTGTAGGCTCCTGGTTGGGGGGATGAGGATTCCCATGATGCGCCGAAGGTGGGGGGGATCGAGTCGTCTGGGTTTGCGGTGGCTTTGGTGGTGTTGTCGATTGCGGCGAGGACTTCGGGGTGGGCTTCGATGATGTGGTGGCGGGCGGGGGATGTGGCGCGGAACATGCTGTCGATTATGCCCATGCCGAAGCCGATGTTGAGGATGCGTTTGCCTGATGTCGCAGAGGCATCGGCGTCAGAGGATTCCCGTGGCGGTGGTGGGATGAGGGCGTCGACGCTCTTGCGCATGATTTCCGTCTCCCACGCCATCATGACGCCGTTGCCGGCCTCGTCGACGAGTTTGCCGGAGGAGTAGGTCAGGTTCGAGGCGAGGTACTCTTCCGAGTTGAGGGAAGGGTCCTGGACGGCGGGGGGTTGGAACGTTTTGGGTTCTTGCTGCTGTTCCCCTGAGACGGGTGCTGGTGCCTCGACGAGTTCTGGTGCTTCTTCCGTATCGTGTACGTCTTGGATGACGACGTCGCCGTTGGTGTCTGCGTCTGCGGTGCCTTCGACAGCTGCCTCGACCTCATCCTCGTCCATCTCCGAGCCCCCCGAAGAAAGCGCCTCGTACCCGTCCAACAAGCCAAACAGCATCTCGGCGCGCACGCCGGCCTCGACGCAGAGGTTATAGAGGCCCTTTTGGCCGAGGCGGAGGGCGAGACAGCCCGGTGTCTCGTTGTTGTTGTCGACGTCGTTCCAGATTGCGCCGGAGAGGAAGAGCTCGTGGACTGTTTCCTTTGCCTCTTCTACCTGGAGGTCTTCGCCTGCTTCGCCGTCATCCCCGTTTTGGGCTTCATTCTCGGTGGAAGGGGGAGCAGGTCCGCAAGCTCGAATGGCGGCGTGGAGGGGCGTCTCGCCGGTCGTCGGGTCCTGGCAGCTCGCTTGGCCGGGCTCCTGGAGAAGTTTCTTGAGGGCGGAGGTGTCGTGGCTCCAGGCGTGGAGGAGGATTTCGCGGGTTGCGTCGGGGCAGTCTGTTGTGATGCGGGCTTGCATCGAGTCGTCGATCGGTGTCGCCATGGTTGTATGTATATGGTGGTTTAGAGGGGTAAGTCGAGGGAAGTTGACTCTGGGTGTGGGGGAGCTTCGTTCGTCTGGGGAGAGAGGAAACCTCGATCGGAAGGAAGGGGTTCGGCGAAAGACGCGGCTTTTGCTCCGGTCGGTATGCCGGAGTTGGTAGGGGTGTCTAGGTCCGTGGTGCGGTAGGATCCTTCGATATCGGCCGGGTGTCTAGTCCGTAGAACTTTTTTTTTTTGCCGTGTCCGCGCCGGTGTGTATCCCCCGCCGACCCCGCCATCCGCCGAACGAGAAAAAAAAAGTCGTCCAGGTCGAGCCCTCCTGCGAGCTGCAGCAACAGCTGGGCCGCCGTGTGACGTCTGCCGCACGTGCGCATCTGCTGCTCGCAATTGGCCAATTGACACCCCCGTGCCCCCCCCCCTGCGGCTAGCTCTGGGTACCAGCGGAAACTGGAGCCAGACACCCACTGGGACCACCAGACTACCTGGAGCTAAGCCGGGTTGGAGCCGCGCTTTACTGGGTCAGGACCGCTAAAGGACTCGAAAGTTGCGAGGGAGATACGATGGCAGGAGAGGACGGATGCGCCAGCTCCCACGTTTTTCGTTTCTCGTTCTTTACATGCCTCGTGAGATAGAACGCTTGAATCCCGAAGTCGAGTCTTGCAGATACGGAAAGAAATCTAGAAATGAAGGGAGTTAAGTAAGAAAACATAAGGTAATATAAGAAGCTGAAGGACAGTCAGGTACCCTAGAGCAGTGGAGGATTGGCCGTGCGGTGTCACTCAGTTAACGTGGTTGGCAACTGCAGCACATTGCAGGCAGTACCAAGGTAGCGGCCCCCCCGTCTGAGGGCCCCCTGTCCGAAGCTTGTCTCGTAACCATCGGCCGCCGCCTCGCATTCCATCGCCTTTTGTTTTGCCTGCAACACCCGACCGCGCGACAGGCGAAAGCTTCCCAAATCCTCTCATACTTTTCTCCAATATCTGGAACATTTTCGCCCAAGTCGGTTACACGGCGCAAAAGCTGCATAAGGTGAGACCTCTATCCGAATAAATCTCCTCAATTCGACTCCACATCGTCAACAAGCAAGCCCCCTCAAGAATTCCATTACCCAAAAGGCAAACTAATTCTGGGCGTTTCTTCGACTAAGCCTCCTTTGCTTTTTTCTGCCTGGCTATGCCCATACCGATGATGCCATTTCTCTCGAGACCCGAATCCTCATGCTAATTGTCTACGATACAAAGACGCAGGAACGAACTTGGCGACCGAGTCTAGCACCCAGCGAATCCCCCTGGCGCGCCCCTCCCGGCATCGTCGTCATGAAGTTCGGCGAGCAGCTCCGCTCGAGCATCATCCGCGAGTACCAATGGTACTACATCGACTACGACGCCCTCAAGGCCGACCTCAAGACCGCCACGGGCCCCGTCACACCCGTCGACAATAGCAATGGCAAGGGCAAGGGCGGCAAGCGCGAGTGGTCCGAGGAGGACGAGGGCCGCTTCGTCAAGAAGCTCGAGGCCGAGCTCGACAAGGTCCATACGAAGCAGCAGGTCAAGGCCATGGAGATCTCGAGGCGCATTGCCGTGAGCGAGCGCGAGGTCAAGGGCGTCGTCAATCGTCTTGTCGAGCGCGGCCCCCGCGAGGAGGGCCCTAGTGAGGAAGAGTTCATGCTGCTCGAGGAGGACTTGAGCGACATTATTGCCGATGTCCACGATCTTGCCAAGTTTGTCCAGCTGAACTATACTGGTTTTTACAAGATTATTAAGAAGCATGACGTGAGGCATTCCTTGCGACATTGAACGTTCGGGCGAATCACTGACGAGGCATAGAAAACAACTGGCTGGCACCTCAAGCCCGTCTTCGACACCCGACTCAAGGCGAAACCATTTTACAAGGAAAACTATGACGCTTCCGTAGTTCAGCTTTCCAAGTTGTACGATCTGGTCAGGACGAGAGGAAACCCAGTCAAGGGTGACAGCGCAGCCGGCGGCTCTCAGGGAAGCTTCGTTCGCAATACGACAAAGTACTGGGTCCACCCAGACAACGTGACGGAGCTGAAGCTCATCATCTTGAAGCACTTGCCCGTACTTGTCTTTAATGCAAGCAAGGAGTTTGAGATCCAGGACTCGGCCATCACGTCCATCTACTACGACAACCCGGAGACTTGGGATCTGTACGAGGGCCGTCTGAAGAAGACGGAGGGTGCCGAGGCCATCCGCCTGAGATGGTACGGTGGGATGCAGAGCGAGAACATCTTTGTCGAGCGCAAGACCCATCGCGAGGACTGGACCGGGGAGAAATCCGTCAAGGCGCGATTCTCGGTCAAGGAGAAGAACGTCAACGCCTACATGCGCGGTGAGCTGCTCCCCGCCGCTCTCTTCGAAAAGGCGCGTAAGGAGGGCAAGAAGCCCGAGAAGGCGATTGCCGAGGACGAGAGACTCGCAAAGGAGGTCCAGTACTCGACTCTCAAGAAGGGATACAAGCCGGTGTGCAGATCCTTCTACAATCGTACCGCCTTCCAGCTTCCCGCTGATGCTCGAGTCCGTATCTCCCTCGACACGGAGTTGACCATGGTCCGCGAGGACAACCTAGACGGCCGTAAGAGGTCCGGTGACAACTGGAGACGTATGGACATTGGTATCGACTACCCCTTTTCGCAACTGCCCCCCGAAGACATTGTGCGCTTCCCTTACGCCGTTCTCGAGGTCAAGCTTCAGACGCAGCTCGGCCAAGAACCTCCGGAATGGGTTCGCCAGCTCATTTCCAGCCATCTTGTGGAGGCCGTGCCCAAGTTCTCAAAGTTCATTCACGGAGTCGCTTGCCTCTTCCCCGACCGCATCAACCTGCTTCCCTTCTGGATGCCGCAGATGGACGTGGATATCCGGAAGCCAGTTACGCACGACTTTGGAATCCACAGACCCAACCAGTCGGCAACTACCACTACATCAGATGATGACGAGGATGACGAGCTAGACTCTGATGACGAGGAGGGTCCCTTGGTAGCCAGCAATAATGGTGCCACTAACGGAGAGTCGAGTGGTCAGGGAGCTGCTAGGAACGGAGGGAACGCACTCGATGTCGAAGGCCAGACCGTCGATACCATTGCCCCCGTCGACAACGAAGACTTTTTGTACGACTCGGACGAGGAGTACGACGCCGACGAGGCCCTCGAGGAAGCCAGACGGGTCGGAGGCTGGACTTACTACAAGGCGCTTGCCTCCACAAAGGCACAAGCATTTGGCGAGCGCGCCATCGACGTGCTCAAGTGGACCGTGCCGCATCCCCGTGGCTCTGTGATCCCCAGGCGTGAAGTACAGACGACGCTCTTCGGCTCGGGGGCGATTCAGACCAAGAGGTTCAAGGCCCCCAAGGGCAAGAAGATTTACGTGCCGGTCCGCGTGGAACCCAAGGTGTACTTTGCCGCCGAGAGAACCTTCCTCGGATGGGTGAGTCTCTCATATCCTCTTGACAAGAAATCCCCGAACAGCTGCTAACACAACCAAAAAATAGCTCGAATACTCCATCTACGTCGGCACCGTCGCCGTCACGCTCCTCAACTTTGGCTCCAAGCCCACGCCCATGTCCTTCATCGTGGCCGGCGTCTTCACCCTCCTCGCCATCATGTCGCTCTGCTACTCGGTCGTGATCTACCTGTACCGGAGCAACGCCATCCGCAACCGCAAGGCGGCCAAGTTTTACGACAAGTGGGGGCCTAGCGCGCTCTGCGCTTCCTTGTTCATTGCCGTCCTGCTTAACTTTGCGTTTGAGGGCAATGCGAGGGAGTATTGGTGAGACTGAGGATTGTCTGGGTGGTCTAGGTGTGTCTGTTTGTGGTGTCTAAAGTAGTCTCAACTTATATCTTGGAAAAAGCGACTTGTGTTTTATTTTTTATGTACTATGTATTGTAGCGAAATCGTATAAAAATGGTCTATTAGAAATTGGTGGGTTTGTTGTGGTTGTACTTTTCAGACATGTTTCCTTTCCTCGACTGCATAACATAACATATCCTAGATGAAGTAGGTAGGATATAATGGAAAGGATCTAATTGTGATCGCCTCCAGTGTTCCGTATCTCTTAACACGGCCAAGCTTGTCCCTTTTTTTATCGTACATCATTCATCTCATTGTGTGTAATGAAGTCCTATTTTTTTCCACCTCGTCATCCTGATTACAAAATAGCGCAGAAATAATTTCAAGATTAGAGGATTTTGTGATATTCTACCATGTTCGTGTTTTGCACTCGCCAGCTCGAATATAGGAACATCAAAATCTTCAAGCGAGTCACCAATAACTTCAATCCGCCCGAGAAGCCTACCGCCCGGCACGAGAGTCCGGATTCAGGATCTCTTTTCTTTCGGCTTCTTTGGTATCAGGGCGTTCGCTGTATACGCTTTCTCTCTAGGGGGCGCCGGCGGAACTGTTAGATCTGTCGGCCATTAAGAAACCACCATTTAACCTTCTATTCGAAATCAAGCCACAGATATGGATTCAATTAGGAGGATGTAGGTGATGGTCGATGAGTTACGGACAGTCATGCCACGGAGCTTTTTGAGGCGGAATTGAGGAGGAGCATGGTGAAGTTTGAACAGGCGCCAAGAAAGGTACCTTACCTTGGATGCGATGGAGGTGGCGTGCCTCCGGAGACAACAGGCTGAGCTGATTGACCATGAATCTGGCGGTTCAAGGTGCAAAATAGGGCACTGCACAGCAATTTAATCCCCCCCCCAAGGGGGTGAAGATGAGAAGCAGGCTGACGAGCTGGCCACTCACTAGGTACGGTAGGTACCTAGGTAGCTTTCGGCATTTGTGCTGCATTAGGTATTTCACGGATCCTTAGGTTCATTGCGATTTTAACCCCTCCAAAGGGTTGGATGTGAGAAGCGGGCTCATGTGCTGACTGAGTATCTCACAGCTTTCACTGCGATTTTAACCCCTCCAAAGGGTTGGATGTGAGAAGCGGGCTCATGTGCTGACTGAGTATCTCACAGCTTTCACTGCGATTTTA